TTTTTTTTTTTTTTTTTTTTTTTTTTTTTTTTTTTTTTTTTTAAGTCTAAAACTAGGCATTACTGCTACTGCTACTATGTGATGATTTTGCGTCGAACGCGCGGCGAACAGTGCTCGGGCCAGGTATTATCTCTCCCGGGGTTTCAAACTCACCCGAAACAAATGCCAATGCCATTGCTCCAAACAGATTTTCCCGCGTGTTATCACTTCGAACGGGAGAAACGAGTGTAAAGCCGAGGAACCTTGTTAAACAGCGTTCGAGAAGAGGATTTTAAGAGCGTGGAAATTGTACATATTATTTTTTTTTTCTTTTTTTCTTTTTTCTTTTTTTCGGGTCACGCGCGCACTGTTTACCGAGAAACATCCTTGAGCATCAATCGAGCCACCACGACACCCTGATGTAAGCTGCGTAAGTGAGACTTGTCGCATTCCACCGTGCTGTGGATGATCGTAAATCTTACTTCCAACTTGCTTACACACAGCCTGAACGTTAGGTGAGCGCAAAACTCTTCAGCTTTTAACTTGAACGATGCTTCCCGACCGAAACGAAACTAGCGAGTAATTTAGAAGTTTCGAATCTTTCTTCTTCAAATTTAATACTCTACACTCTTTCTCTCTATCTATCCATCTATCTCTCTCTATCTCTGTCCGAGTAAAATTCAAACAAAAGGTACCGAGCCAATCTCAATAATTTCAGAGGAATGGAGAAACGTCTTGCAATCACCGTTTGCCTCGAAAGATACAAAAACGCCACGGAATTCGTGAATGGAGAAATGAAAATGGCAAGGATCGTGTGAGAAATCGTTCGTTCGATCGTTCCAACTGCACAACACTCGGCGATAAAGCCGAGCGTCGTACAGTTTTTCACTTGCAAACCTTTGCCATTCCCCGTTTCGACGACAATGTATTAAAAAAAAAAAAAAAGAAGTGTGATCGTGCGGAGGACAAACATTGCTGAAGAAGAGTGATTCGTGAGTGATGAAACAACGATGAAGACCAGCGTGTGTGCAATATACAGAGATGACTTATTGTTAACAGACGAAATGTTAGAAAGCGAAATGTAAAAGCAGTAATCGGGTTCGTCAATCGTGAAACGTTACAGTGAGGAAGGAGGGGTGAGGGGGTGAGTCGTTTTCAATTTCAAGAGTGGCCAGATCTCCAACACCGAGAAGGAAAACCCCGTGTGTCACGGGACATGCAAGATTCTCTCGTAGAAACCCAAGAAAGTGTTCACCACCGAAAAAGCCTGTAGGAAAAACTTTTGAAAACCGATCGGCAACAGTAAAAATTCAAATTTGCTCGAGTCGCGAAACTGTCTTTCTGATCAGAGACTATAATATTTATACTTTTGTATAAAGGCGTAAGAGTGTAATTAGTTATCGAGGCATCAAACGACAAGATAAACGCGGAAAAATTAGGCAAATTAGAATATCTACGTATTGGCGGTAACCTAACGCAACGGGGAAATTATAGGTAGAGCATGTCGTGTAGATATAGTCACCCTTGCCTCTGTGTGTGTTCCAATAGTAAAGCGACATGAAGGAGTAGTACGTTAACTTAATTGTTCCAGCGGAATGTCGATTATTCGAGGAGCTGCGGCATTTAATTATAGAACGATTATACGAACGAGTAATAATAATAATAAGAAGCCGATCCTGTGATTATTTACTAGTTATTTATAACACATTGAATTGTCGATGATCTCATGGTATACGTAATAATCGAGACTTCGCTGGAGTTTATTCTCGGAATTCTCTCGCAATCTTGTAATGTTAATAGTTGTACAACTATTCTTAATTGATGTCAATACACTGAATACCACAGCTACACTCTGCGCGCAACACAATGTATTTAATTCTCTTGAAATGACTTAATAACGAACAATTTGCATGCGTTTTCAATTCCATTTGCTGGACGCCATCGGCTCTGTAACTTTCAATATTTACATTTTCTGGTAGCCAATGTATTGATCCAAACGTTCGACATCTCAGATTAATCGTTATTTGGAATTGTAAAGTTTTTCACAGCGGATTAATAAGAAAATCACATATTGGAGATGTGCAAATTTGAAAGCAAAACAAACTTCGCGAGCAATCTCTGACGATTAATCCGAGTGTCCGGGTGAGTCAGTGTCTTGAGGATGCGTACGTCTGTGTTTCACGACCAGAAACGAGTAAGTTACATCTAAAATGAGAATCGTGAGATCGTTCAACTTACCCAATGATGGTATTGGTGGCCATAATGAAGTCGGTAACAAGCGTATTCATCACATTCGCTTTGAAAAGTTTTGACTTTGTTTGAATATTAAGGAACTTATCAGGACTAACGCGCAGTCGGTACACACCGCTGGTACTCTCGCCGACTTGAAGCGTATCATTCAAATGTGCAGTTAGCTTACTGAGGTCATGAGGGTGGCACAAGTCCTTTATCGTCGTACCAATCAGCTCCTGCAACAAAACATTGCAAACAATTACAATCGAACGATCACAAACAATGCTGTAAGAAATGAACTCAATTCGCGGTAATATCAAAAATTATGTACGATTATCTTGATCCAGAGAAAAGCAAAAACCATAATAAAATTCATAGCCTTTTTACAAGACTGTGGGCGTAATGTCTAACATTTGAGAGAAACGACGTCTTTGGCGTCGTCTTTACCTTGCTTAGGTACTCGGAGTAAGGAGGAGATAACCAGATAACATCAACCGCGATAATCTTCCCCGTGGTGTCCAACTTGACGGTGAACTGCTCGATGGGCGTACCGATGGGCTTCTCGTTCGGGGGTATCCTGCGAGCCACGCACATTACGCAAGGACCGTTGTCTGAAGATTCAGACGATACGTCACCGCTCTCCAGACGATCACTATTATTTGGCAAAAGAGCTGAACAGATTTGCATAGACTCGTATTTCGATACTCGTTGCTGCTTCTCTTCCATAGTCTCTTCTTTGTCATCAGGAGGCTTCACCAAGAAGCGGCAATTGAAGGTACGATTCCTCTGGGGCTGCTGCTCGTTCGTCCAGCCTGAATTACAAACGAGGCTCGAGTTAGTTAACTAAACTTGATCGTTTTGGTATTTCATTTCGATTTTGTCACGTCTTTTAGAGAAGAAAAAAAAGAAAAAAAAAACGAACAATTAATCATTGCTTGATTAAAGATCTTCGCGTGGGATCGTTTCAATTTCCTACAAAGCTTGTGGGATATGTTTGAAATAAAAACAAAAACAGAAAAAAGGTCGGCGGACTTGAATCTAAAGAGGTTGAAATATTTGTTACAATTCCGAACATTTTGTGCTTGGGAGATGTTCTATGAAATTGATTTAGAATACGTACATTATCCGAATATCGAGGATTTAATTTGGTGTAAATTTGTAAACTAACGTAAAGTATCAAGCGATGGAAATTTCACACAGCCAACAGGGAAAAGGCAAGCCTGTCCAAGTGCAACGTGCCATCCGCCGATGGCATCGCATTTCTGCTGCGCTACAGAATTTCGAAGCTGTCCGCTTTCGCGTTACGCAAGATAAATCTTTCCCGTTGCATCGCTACCCGAACTTCCACAACAAAGTGAGATAAACTGAAAAGTACACGTGCACGCTCCTCTCCCCCTCCCCCTCCCCCTCACCCCTTAAATAGACGCTAAAGTTACATTATCATAACTACCCCCGACATGTACGAAACGCACTCATAAATAATCGTCGCGCGGACGTGCAAAAAAAGACTGTGAAGAAAATTCAATCTCTTCTCCTCGGTCGTATCTTTCTAAGTGTTGGGTGAAAAAAGGTAAGAAAATAGACGGAGGAGAGAGAAAGAGATTAACGAGTAAGATAGATTGAGATTAAGATGAAGGATGAAAGGGAATGAGGGTTGTACTTGAAAGACGTGAGGTACTAACCTAATGGCATAGGCAACAAGCTCGGCATGAAGGTGTTGTGATCTCCATGATGAATAATATTATAAATATCCTTGCCGAGAACATCGTCCTTCGTGTAATTTATGTACTGAGTTATGTTATCTGTTACGTACTCCACTCGTCCCTCCGTATTTACAACGAAAAGAAAGCCATCTAACGCCTGGACAAAAATTTCGAATCGAATTAGATGCTGCCATTTTCGCGCGTTGCAATGCGATTTTCTCTGCTCTGTCAATAAAACTCAGGGAACAACAATAGAATAGACTGATGAAACATAAACTGAATCATACCTCGAGTAAAATAGGACCAACTCGATCGTTGGACAGTATGTTAGGATTCGAAGAAGACACTTCCCCCTGCTGTACGGCATGACTATTCGAGCCTTCCTGTTGCCTAATGTGCCGAATCTGCAAATAATAAAGTTAAATTGCACCAGTTAAACATTAACTCGAATTATCAAGTCAAGAAATTGCGAAAGCACGTGTTAACTCGCATCAAAAGTAATCGTCTCGAACGTGATCTTTAATAATAGAGGCAAGAAAACTAATATTCAAGTGTTTAATGAAGAAGTGATAAAATTTCGAATACCATTCAAGTCAAATTGTTGAAAAAAAAAAAAAAAATAATTAGCTTCCTGCTTCCCAGTTATATCGTATGTGAAAAATGAATGAAATTAGCGAAGTAACGATATGGAGAAAAAAAAAAAAAAAAGTTCCAATTCATTTTAATGAAACAGTTAAACTGTGCCATTGTGTATAGCTTCACACGTCAAGATAACGCAACAGCACAATGCTCATTTCGCGTTGTACATGTGCATGTGTGTTTTCTAAGTTCGTTAAAAACGCTGCACTCGGAAAATACAACTTTCCACAGACAGTGACAAATAATTTTGATAAAAAGAACTTTCCTCGTTATTTCATTTGTGCATCTGATAAAAACAGAATTTGAAAAGCTTTTAATAATTGTCATGTAACTAAAATGGCTACAATGTATTACAAGAGACTAGTCATTTATTTTTATCAAACAGCGAAAATAAAAGGACAGTAGAGCGATACTATTATTTGAAATTGTTATCGCTCTAAATAAATTGAGACCCCGAGTGCTATTGAAACCAATAACACTTGTATTACAAATAACGAATTGAAATACTATTCCGAACTATCATTATCTTTAATTCTAACTAAAATTCGTTTCATATAAATTAATCATTTTACATTTCCACGTTTTGTTATAACAAGGAAATTTTTATCAGTTATCGTCTCTCTTCTATTTAATAATAATTTAATAATGTTGCCGCAATCAAGCGTCTGTTTTTTTTTTTTTTTTAATCAACTTGTTAAACAATAAAGCAAAATCGCATTATTTCATTTGTTCGCGGGAAGCAGCCGTTGCATATTGTATTTCACATTACATACCACGACACACACACACACGCGTGTACGTATTGCAATTTAATGTAATGAATAAATTACAATGACCGCATTTTTTTCTCATTCGTCGTATTAATATCAAAAATCATTCTTTCTTCATACAGCAACGAACACAAGCACAACATTGCACAAGACATTCAGATGATAACGCAACGGAATTTTATCCAGAAAAAAACAAACGCAGCCTTTACGCGTATACAACAATTTCTCAAACTGAAACTTAGAGTGACATTTAAAGTTTGTATTTATATATAGAATTACAAATCTGACACGAGTATAATTTTTTGAAACAAGTCTTCAACCTTCAGTCTTGTATTTCCATTGCAAATAAGATTTCATACGCTTAATTACACGCGACAAAATTGATTTTCAAATTCAATGAAATGGTAAAATTTAATAAATGGAATTGATAGACTGGGAAGAAGGTAAAGTGATAAAAATGATTGTCCTCGGGCTGTAAAAATATATAAATAATATAATGATTGAAGAAATTTTCGAGAAGGAATAAAAGAAATGAGAAGAGAAATTTATCAATCGAATGAATAATATTTCCAGTGGAAAGTTTTTCTACTGCACGCTTTCCGTGCGATTCGTACAAAAGTTCTTAATTCTTACACGATTATCGATCAGCAAATATTGAAACTGATAATCCACATTCCGCCTGCTTATGCGATAATTAAACATCACGAACTGTTGTGTCTGTCCTATCTATTAAAAGTTTGGAACAATTACTCATCTGTCTTGTCGTTACAATAATGAAGCATAAATGCAGTAACGTAATTTCAAATTAATATGTAACGATTAATGCGTGCGAGTATTAATTCGTTTAAATATTCAAATTGCAAGCTTCGAAGCTTAAAAATAATTACTGTAAAAAAGATTTAACTGAAATATTTCTCACTGAATCTACAAATGCTTGAATACCTTAAACGCCTTGTTATACATTCGAACAAAATGTGCATGCAAATAAAACTAAAAATAACTTGGGATGCTAATGAGAAAAAGAGAGATAACTAAAAGACTCGACAGAATGCTTGATCCAATGTTCTCAAGCAGATAACTGAGAAATAAATTTATTCAAAAAAAAAAAAAGAAAAAAAATCGTACAATTATTATTTATAGCAGATAATTTACTTTATTTTTCGAATATAGTAATAATGAATGATAATATTCTTTTGTGTTTGAAAAGAATGAAAAGAATATTAAAATACAATAAAAATTCTAGACTATCAATATTGTAGTTACACGTTTCACATTTAAATTATAGTTATAAATGTCTCAACCCATGAGAACGTAATTATAAACGCTAGGACAAGTATACTGTTGCTCTCAAAAAGACAATTTCTGAATTAGAAATACTTCAGGAATACTTTCTCCAGCAGCAACATGTGAAATCAGTAACTATTTCATTTTCTAGTTAATTTTTGAAAAAATGAAAATATACACGAAGTTGCGAAGAAAAATCACCCGATAATGAATCTCGCAACGGTGTGTAAAAACAGTTAACGGTTAAAAAAGAAAAAGCGTGAACTCCGCGACGCTACCATTCAAAGTCGCAAGGTTAGCCGTAAGTGGAACACGAACGGCGAAGGGAAAGTAAATCTCTGCATTACCGGCCGAGTTTCGGGCACGAGCGTGCGGGAAAAGCTCGTCCTTGAGCTCATATTTCCCAGCGCCGATAGATCGCGCTCGTAATCAAAATGAATTTAAGCACACGGGCGCAGAACATGCCGTGGCCTCGAAAAGTCGGTGACTCGGCGGCTGAGTCCGACAAACGGTTTGCGACGTTGCCGCTAGCCTCTGTGTTTTAAAACGTATATATTTCTCCCGTTCCATCTCACACCACAAACGACGCACGCAATAAATTCTTCCTCGGTCGCTTTCAGAACCCATCGTTGACGTTTCTCTCTCGTAATCGAGAGCATCATTGATCAAAGTAGAAAATAGCCGAATAATACAAATGAGACAGGAAGACGAGGTCTAGGAAATCACGGGAAACGTCATCGTATCAACCTCCGTCTCGCGATTATTTCGTTACGTCGTGTTATACGTTAACGAACGGGGAATTTAAAAAAGGAACTCTCAGTCGGAGAGAGATTCACGACGATCGTATATCGCGACGGTAGAGTCGGGACTTCGAATGGAAGAAAGACTTTTATTGCAGATTTACAATTGATTCTACCTCGGTCACGTCGTTGGGCACAGGATGCGCGTGACTCTACTGCGCAGATGACGTCACACGAACTCTTGCTCCGGTAGCTCGGGTTATAACGCCGTTTGGAAGGTTTCCTATTGGCCTCGGTGACGTCATTCAAGGTCACATGACAAACTCCCGAGAAGTACTTTTCTTTTTTTTTTTTTTTTTTTTTTTTTTTTAATGTTTTTTTTTTTTTTTTTTTTTTTTTTTTTTTTTTTTTTTTTTTTTTTTTTTTTTTTTTTTTTTTAATGCAAGTTTTCTCTCAATGTACAACTTCTCGTAGATAAAATNTTTTTTTAACGATTCTTCGTGTATCTATTCATTTGCGAGGGTGCCACGTCGAGCACGTTGACGGAAAAAATGAGAAGAAAAAGAAAAAGAAGTTAGGAAATTCACCGAGGGTCGTGAATTTCCTTTCTATGAACGTAACTGAAACATGCCTCGCGCGAGAAGAAGACGAATATCACGACCCTGGCGCAAAGAATCGACATGTGCTCGTTCGTGAATCGCAGAACTAGCATGCAGAAGAACAGACGGGAAGTTCGAACCCCTTCCATCGCTTGTTCTTCTCTCTCTCACTCACTCACTCACTCTCTCTTTCTCTCTCTAGTTTTAGTACATAGACAGAGAGTCGCTTGCAATTAGACGTCGGCACGGATCATTATCGTTCTGTGCGTTTTCAACCAATTCAACATACGTATGTATTTTACATTTGGCTACTTTCGCGACCCTCTCTACGTCACAACGTAACATTTTACTTAAAATATTCTCCCTTTTAGCCTCGTGTATGTTGTAGAATAAATTATAACTCGATCTATTTAACATCTATTGACGATACTACAGGCTACCAATGACGATTCAGACGGTACTCTCTCGTTTTCATGACGAAATCGATGATAAATTCAACTCGGCGACGTTGAATTTCAACCCAAGCTAATCGAGCTTGGAAGCGAGGAGAGAACGCGTTGCCGAACGAGGCGCGTCTCGCTTCTGAAACAAACGATGCTGCTGCCCAACCATCGAGGAACGTGGAGCGTTACCGCGTAACCGCGACCTGGAAACACACAGAGAGGCTGGAACGCGAATATCGATTAAGACTGCCATAATGGCCGCCGACGTGACTGAAAATTATTCGAAATCTCCACCAGATTTCTTCGTCATTTTTTTCTGTTTTTTTTTTTCTTCTTTCCCTCGATAAACGAAGAAGAGGGAGAAGAAGGAAGGAAATGGAATAGCGTGATTTCGCACGGTTCGATGGCTAGTTTCCGCAGCTCTTCGCAAGACTGCCGCTCTCAGCTGTTCCTTTCGTCTTCGCGTGCTCCCAACGTCTAGCGCGAAATTATGCGCGCAGCAACCATCCCTCCATGCGCGGAACAAAGACGGAAAACGTATCGTTGCCCCACTGTCGTAAATAGCGACGAGCACGGTCGGTCATTTCCATGCACAAATTCGGGAGAAAAACACTTCGTCACGAGCTCACGAGTGAAATATTATTGAACGAAGAAGAATGTCTTCTTCTCGAACGACATATTCTCTTTTTTCTTTCTTTTTTTTTTTGCTTCTTGGCGAAAGTTACTTTATCGATATATCTCGTTCCCTCCAGAAATAAATTTTTCAAAGAGCTCGGAGAGAAAGAGTGCACTCAACTTCTTCGAAGTTCGAAGGAGACGTCGCTTTGTCTCTCTCCGCCTTGTTTTCGATTTTTCTCCTTTTCATTTTTTTTATTTTTTTATTTTTTATTTTTTCTTGATCTTTTAACGCGTATATATGTTTTCGGGAC